TGTTGCCATCAGTGGGATTGTCTTAACACAACTGTTTGATTCTTGTTAATTCTTGTTTCAGTTTTCCCCTCTCACCTCCTTCCCTGGCCTTCCTACTCCCTTCTCTTTGACACCTCTTCCTTTTCAGTTTTTGGTGGATCATTCCATTCTGTACCATTTTTTTTCTTTCTACTCGACCACATGTCTTGGAAGTGCGTCCATGTCTGTATATCTTATATTCCTGGCCTTTTATACAACCGGATAGTATTCCAAGGCATGCCTGTGCCGTCATCTACTTAGCCTGCCCCCTGTGAGGGACGTGTCGGTATTCACAGCCATTCAGGCCCGACTTTGGAGCCCAGCCGGGCTGACTTGGAGCCCAGCTTCCGCCCTCTGCCATTTCCCAGCCAAGGAGCCAGACCCAGAGAGGGACGAGGGCTTGCTTGGGCCTTACAGAATGGGCAGCAGCAGACTAGGTGCTGAGGGTTAGGGCTCCTGGGCCAGGAGCTGCAAACCCTCCGTTTGCTTCCTGCAGAGGCAGCCACGCGGCAGTAGGGATCGGTGGGCGGCTTGAAGGACTGACCCAGGACCTCCGGCAGCTGCAGGAGAGTGAGCGGCAGCTGGACCACCTGATCCACGTCTGCACCACACAGCTGCGGCTGCTGTCTGAGGACTCCGACAGCCAGCGATATCCTTGGACTGTGGGGGGTGCTGCTGCGGGGGACAGAACTGGCGGTGGGGCCCCATCCAAGTGGGACTAGGGAGGCGACCCCGGGCCCTGGATTCAGGAAGGGGCTCTGGCTTTGGATGCCAGCTCTGGGCTGAGCACTTACTCGGTGTTAGGCTGGACAAATTACAGGACGTCTTGGAGCCTCAGCTTCATCTGTAAAAGGGGAAAGTAATCAATCACCAAACTGTGCAGACTAAAACAAGAAACCCTAGTACGAACAGTAGCAAACATTTATTTAGTAGTGATTTGGTACATGGCAGTAGCTTCAAAGTTAGAGATTGAAGTTCTTATTTGCCTTTCATTCACAAAAATAGAAACTTTTTAAGATTTTATCTTTAAGTAATCTCTATACCCAACATGAGGCTCAAACTCACAACCCCGAGAAGAGTCCCACGCTCCACTGACTGAGCCAACCAGGCGCCGCTAGAAACTTTATTTTAAAATAAGTGTTTTTTTGTTTGTTTGCTTTTTTTAGTGAATACCCAATTATGTGGGGTTTTTGTTTTTGTTTTTTCTTAAGATTTGAGGGGGGAGCGGGAGAGCGCATGCGTGTGAGAGAGCACAAGAGCAGGGGGAGGGAAAAGGGGACTCCCCGCTGAACAGGGAGCCCAATGTGGGGATCATGACCTGAGCTGAAGGCCGATGCTTAACTGACTGAGCCACCCAGGCGCCCCCCAAATTATGTTTATAAGTTTTGGAGACAACCACCAGCTGACACCAAGGTCACGGGTCAGAATAAATTCTCAGCACCAGGTGTGGCGTTGTGTTAAGTAATTTACATGAAATTATTGCAGGCAGCCATCATTACTTTGGGATTTTGTGGGTAGAATGATCTCATTGTACAGATGTGGAAATTGAAGCTCAAGGGCGTGAGACGGTCTCAAGCACCAACTACGTGCCAGGCCCTGGGGTGGGGTATGGAGAGCACAGAACAAACTAAGTAGGTATGGGCTCTTAATGAACTGTCTGGGTGGGTGACCACAGAGGTCAGAGGTCATATGGTCCTTGACTCCACCAACCCTGGCCTACGTGACCTGCCAGGACCTTCGTAGCATCGCAGACCCTGCAGAGCAGATGGTCATGGTGATCAAGGCCCCTCCCGAGACCCAGCTCCAAGCTGTAGACTCCTCAGAGGTGAGATCAGGACTCCAGACCTGCCCAGGACAGGCTGGGCGGGGTTGGTGGTCAGCTGAGCCTCCATTTACCCTGCCTGCTGCCTCCACCCAGACCTTTCAGATCTCCCTTAAGAGCAAACAAGGCCCCATTGACGTTTTCCTGTGCCCTGAGGAGACTGCAGGCGGGATCAGCCCTGGGAAGACCCCATCCCAGGGGACAGCTTCTGGGGAGGAGGACCGGGCAGTTCACCCTGCCACCACCGTGCCACCGCCATCATCTCCCCCTTCGTCCCCCGCCGCGGATCCCAGCCAGTCCCTGCTCAGCCTGGAGCAAGGTGGGTGAAGGGGGGGTGGGGGGGGTGGGTCAGGGTCCCTCTCCCAGCGGGGTGGGCAGCCACGATAGCCCCCTCTACCCTCCCTGCGGGCCGTCCCCGGCCTGTGATGCTCCCCCGTCTCCCCAGAACCTCTGCTTTCCCGGATGGGCGGCCTGCGGGCCCCCGCGGACGCGGACCGCCTGTCCCCGCTGGTGGCGGCCGACTCGCTCCTGGAACATGTGCGGGAGGACTTCTCCGGCCTCCTCCCGGAGGAGTTCATCAGCCTGTCCCCCCCTCAGGAGGCCCTCGACTACCACTTTGGCCTTGAGGAGGGTGAGGGCATCAGAGACCTCTTCGACTGTGACTTTGGGGACCTTACCCCTCTGGATTTCTGACGGGGCTTGGGGGGGACCAGGGTCTCCTGAGATGCCCACCCTGTCTTTGCAGCCCTGGAGCCCCCTGCCCCTGGCCGTCCTCCCAACCCAATTGGAAACGTTTAATTTATACCCCTCTCCCCTATCTCCAGAAGCCTCTAGCTCTGGAGTCTGGCTACTTGCCAGGAGGCTGAGCAAGCCAGGAAGGGAAGGATTCTGTTTGTGGTGTGTATGTGCATGCACCCAACACCCAACATGTGTGTACACGGGGTGAGTGGTGTGTGAGCATGTGTGTGTGCATGTACCGGGGAATGAAGGTGAACACATCTGTGCGTGCACTGAAAACACGCCCCAGTGTGTCCACGTGTGTGTGCATGAGTCCATGTGTGCGCGTGGTGGGGGCTCTAACTGCACTTTTGGTCTCCTTGCTCCAGGGGCCCCACGAGGCCCAGGGTGGCCACCTGCCCCCAGAATCCTGTGTGCTGACCAGGCCAGGTGGCGAGGCCTTGGCCTGCTTGTTTGCAGGACAGCCAGAGCACTTCTGTCGTCTTAAAGGTTTTTCTGATCGAAGCTTTAATGGAGCGTTATTTATTTATCAAGGCCTCTTTGGCAAGCCTGGGGCACCAGCAAAGGGTAGGAGGGATGTGGGACTGATGCCCCAACTCCCTATACCCCTGAGCGGGGCAGGGGTCCCTGAGCTGTTCTTTGCCCTACTCCGAAGGAGGTGAGGCCCGAGCGGTTTATTTATTGGGAAAGTGAGGGAGGGAGACTGACTGACAGCCATGGGTGGATCAAGGGGGTGGTCCCTCCCCAGGGGGTCACTGCAGGGCCCCAACTGCCCCCCAGGATGGATGTGAGATGGGAAAGGTGAGTGGGGGACCTTCACTGACAAGGTGGGCAGGAGGGGTGGGTGAAGGGCTTCCGCTAGCCCAGACCACAGGGGCCCCTCTGCCCCACTCATTGCTCTGCCCCGCCCCCCCCCAATCTGCACTTTGATTTACCTTCCTAACCGCTCTGTTCCCTCCTGCTTTGGTTTTAATAAATATTTTGATGGTGTTTGGGCTGGGTTTCGGGACTATGTACTGGGAGCAGACCTGGGGGTGGGAGAGGTCCTGGTTGCTGGGAAAACGCCCCTTGTCTACTTTTCCTCTCCCTGCCCCTGCTTGGTTTCATTTCATTTGAGCCCCACAGCCACAGGAAAGCTAGGCTTTGTCACCATTTTTGTCCTAATCTTAAAAACTGATCCAGTGAAGTAGTAAGTGAACTCCCCTCCTTTCCCCAGAGTCCCATAGAGGCCACTCTGATTGCTGTGTTCCTTCCAGATGTTTCTGGGCATTTGTAAACCCGCAACAAATAATTACAACAGGATGTTTCTGTGTCAGGTTGAAAGAACCTGACACGTTCTGGGGACACATGTTCCCTCCTGGGCCTCTCAGGGTTGTCTGGAGGAGATTTATTAGACCAATGAGAAAATCAGAGGGCTTCCTGGAAGAGGTGATGCTTGAGCTGAGAGCTGTGGGATAGAGTTAACAGAGGAGGCAAATAGGAACACACGTAGCAGACAGGGCAATGTGGACAAAGGCCCTGGGGCAGGAGGGAGCAGGGCACAGAGGACCGGAGAGAAGCCAGTGTGGAGTCCTGAGGTGAGGGTCAGAGTAGAGAGAAGTTCAGACTCACTGGTGAGTGTGCGATAGCAATGACATCCTGTTTTGTATTTTAAAAGTTCCCTTTGGCTGCTGTGTGGAAGATGAAGAGCCAGAATGGCAGAGGGGCGGGGGGAGAGAGGGCTGAATTGAATTTGAAAGGGGGAGCCGAGGCGGGCTGGGAGGCAGTCCACACAGACCTGTTTAACCCCTAGGTGAGCTTCCTCTGAGCCAGTTCCTATTCTAAGCCCTTTACAGTCCGTAGGTGAGTCCCCACAATCATCCTTTACGGATTGCGGGGGTCAGGATTACTAGGATTACCCCCATTTTGCAGAAAAGGATGCAGACGCTCAGAGGTGAAGTCCCTTGCAGGTCTCACGCACAAGGTGTCACTCTGTTGTACCGCAGTTTGCTGACCCTACAGCGGTGTGGGACCTGCCCTTGCTGGGCACGCGGTGCGACCCCTTCCATTCTGTTCCCGGCTGTGGAGCACTCCCGAGCCGCCAGGCACGCGCACAGCCAGTCCGAGCTGGAAGCGACCCCCGGGTGGTTCCTGGCTCCACAGTCGCCAACGCTCCGGGAGGCTCTGGTAGCAGAACCGCGGAGGCGAAAGGTGTTGGGAGTTCTACTACGTGTAGCTCCTGCCCACCTGAAGGCTGGAGTCGGCTTTTCCAGTCTGGAAAGCGAGGCCCTCGGGAAGGGTGGGGGGGAGGGAGCCTCCGTGGCCCGCTGGGCGGGGAGCGGGGTGGGGGGTGGAGCCAAGCGGGGCGGGGCGGGGGGCGGGGCCCTAGATGTCCGGGTCGGCGCCAATGGGCGGGCGGCCCCCCAGGTCCGGGGCGGCGGCGGCGGCGGCAGCGTCCAGAAGCGGGAGCCGCAGCCGAGCGAGCCGTTGCCGAGTGGCTAGCGGCGCCATGGCGTGCGCGGGGCTGCTCACCGTGTGCCTGATCCGGCCGCCCGCGCCCGAGCCCCGGCGGCCCCCCGCGCCCCTGCCTGCCGCCGCCGGGCCCGCCGGACACGCGCTCTTCCAGGACGTGAGTGGGGCGCGGGCGGGGGGCGCGGGCCCTGTGGCCCTGGGGTTGTCGCTGTCTATCCAGCTCTGTCCTTTCTCTTCCGGTGTCTCGCTGGGCTCTGTCTCTCGCTGTCTCTCCTTGCCCCCGGCTCTGCGTCTGTGTGTGCATGTCTCTCCCTCCCGGTCTGTTTGGGCCCCTGCTTCGTTCCCGGGGTCTCTGCTTCTCGCTGTCTCTCTCCGACCCTGCTGTCTCCGTTCTCCCTCATCGTTTCCATTGTGTCCGTTCTCTGTCTCTCCCCTTGTCTCCTGGTTCGGGGTCACTGCCCCTGCTGTCCCCCCACCCCCACGTCCACCCTGTCTATGTGTCTGATGCCGTGGGGACGGTTAACACTCGATCACAGGAGCAGTCCTCTCTATGGCAACCCTAGGCTGGGCTGACCCGGGCACGGGAGCCCGGAAGAATAAACAGCCTCCTGACTTCTGACCCAGTGCTGACCCCAGGAGTCCCTCAGATCTGACCCAGGGGCCGTGGGGTCCCACAGCTGGTCAGGATTGCGCGCAGTGGTCTGTACGTCCCTCCTGTGGGTGGCAGGTGGGCCTGCAGCCCCCTGGGGGCACCAACATGGAGCAGCCTAGCGGGGCCTCGGTCCCTGCCCCGAGCCCCTTCCCCCCTTTCACCCTAGTGCTCAGCCCCTCCTGGCCCACTCATGCCCCGACTTTCAGAGGTCTCCGCCTGTGGGGAAGCTGGTGCTCCTGTCCCTTCCCTGCTGTCCCCAGTGACTCAGCACCTTGACCACAGTCCTCCTGGATGGAAGGGACCTGTCTGTCCTGCTTCCCAGATGGAAAAACCAAGGCCCGACGAGGTCAGACTATGTTTGCGATCACACATGGAGGCAGATGGATGCTAGGGCGTGGCCCCAGATGTCCTCACTCCTAGTGTCGCACCCCATCTCCATCTGCCCCAGTCAGGCCACACTGGGCTGCTGTGTGACCCTGAGCCAGTGGCAGGCCTTCTGTGAGTCAGGTTTCTGGCCAGGGGTTAGATTCATGCCAGTGCTTCACTGGCCCAGAGCAAACAGCTGGAGAGGAGTGGCTTTCAGGAGCTGGAGCTGCTAGGCGTTCTCTGTCCAGGCTTTGGCCTGCCCCTTCTCGCCAGGTGTGTTGGTCTCCCATTTGCTGGGCTGCTTTGGGTGATGTGGGAGTCTCTGGTCCCTGAACATGTCTTGACTCTGCTCCTCTCTGTCCGCCTCTGTTGCCCTTCATCTCTGCTTCTCTGTAAATGCAGTCTGTCCACCCTTGCTCTCTGCCACTCACTTCCCCTTGCACATGTACGTACATACACACACACATATACGTGAGCCTGCCCGAGGCCTTCACAGAGTCAGACTCAGAGGAAGCCCCAGCCCTGAAAGGGTTAACCCCAGGCATCCACAAAGAAAGGACTAGCCACTGCCCGCATATCAGGGTCTTAAACAAGCACCTAGGGAAACAGCCTTGAACAGGCAGAGTCTGGGATGGACCATGGCCATGCTGCAGAGTTGGGGGGTTCAGATCTGGGACAAGGGCCCAGGAACTGGGCCCATCTCCCTTCCTTCCTCAAGCTGGGACTGTGCCAAGGGCTGATGCATCAGACAGAATCCAGGGTAGACTCTAGGTATGGGAGGTGGGGGTGCCGGAAGCTGGCCTGGAGCACCTGCCATGAGGGTGCTTGGTGGGGGGACCTGGCTGTTGGGAGACCCAGGAGGTCTCCCTGCAGGAGAAGTGAGCAAGTGGTGGGACCTGCTGTGTGATCTTCCTGTGCCCCTCTTGTTGGAAAACCTCCTGCAGGGCTGATCTGGGCAGGGAGTTGGGACCAGGCTGGGCAGGAGGAAGGGTGAGGTGGGGGCAGCCTGGCCAGCTGGGGCCCTAGTGAGTTGGGTGGGGGCCTCTTGCCTCCTAGGCAGCACTCACAGTTCCCATCTATGCCCCTTTGTCCTCTAGGTTTTCCGCAGAGCAGACAAGAATGGTAAGTGTGTCTTCCCCTGGGTCCACGGTATAGGGAAGGGTGGGAGACATCAGGGAGGTCAGGGGAGTGTGGGGTTTGGGGGTACAGCCTAGAATGGAGAAGACTCTTGAGGAGACCCAAATCAGGAAGGTCACTCAAGGCATCCTTCCCAGAGGGAGTGCTGTTTGGAGTTGAGCTTGGCAGGATGGAGAGTGGAGGGAATGTGGTTTAGTCAGAGGCTGGAGGTGGGGGTGTCCTCTAACACAGTGCCCTGGCACAGTTGTGGGTAACTCTTCTATATGACTTCATGTTGTCCTCACATCTGTCAGCTAGGTGGGAACTCTTCACCCCATTTCACAGACGAAGGAGCAGAAGCCCAGAGAGGTGAAGTGGGTGGCCTAAAGTCACAAAGCCTTTTAAGTGGTGGGACTTGAACCAGGGTCTGTGTGATGCTTTGTCTCAGGTTCCCTGTGTAAGGGGCTTGGAAAGGTGGGGTGATGGAGATGAGGCCCTAGATCTTTAGAGGGCTCAGTAACTTTCTGTATGACCAGCCACCTGGACCCAGGGAGGGCTTGCACAGGATGGTGCTGGGTCCAGAGAATCCGCTTCCCCTGCCCTGGGTCCTGGGCAGTCTCAGACCCGGGTCTGGGAAAACCTTGAAAGCTAAAGCAGGAGCCCTCAAGGGAGCCCGGAAGCAAGTTGCTGCCCACAGGTGACTTGGAGCAGCCCACTGTGCCCTGATTGGCCGGGTGAGGGTCTGAGCTGAGGCAGCCAGTCAGCCTCGGCCTCACTTCCGTCTGGGGTCTTCAGACCCTTTTGTGTAAGCCTCCTAGAGACAGGATCGTGTCCCAACTCACTGATCAGGACATCTGGATCACAGCGTCCTGTCTGGGGAGGCTCAGACCCTCCCCCAGCCCTGCTCCCCCAACCCCATCTGCTTACAGACCTTACAGGCCAAATCCCCAGTGTCTTTGGCCATTGCACTGTTGATTAGACTGTTACGAGGTCCCTGCATAGAGGAGGTTATTCCCTGCTGCTTCTTGCAGGGGCTCCAACTCTTAGGAAGATCTCATCTGCCTCCCAGTGGCTTCTCTGTGAAGGGCGTGGGTCCCGACCAGCCTGGAGCCAGGCTGGCCGGCAGAGACTCAGCCCCCAAGTCCTCCGAGTGACGTCTAGGTCCTGCCATGATCTGGCCGTGTCCCAGGCTGTTCATTTGCATCTTCACTTGGCAAACATGTATTGAGTCCTGATGTAATGCGACGTGTACGCTGCCCTGTCCCTTAGGTGCCTGGAAAGTGGACCCTGCTGCCTTGGTGGGCACCTCCAGGGACCCTTTTGTCTCCAACAGCCAGGTCCCCCCACCAAGCTCAGAATTCCACTCCACCTGGCTGAGTAGTCGTTAGGGGAGGTCTGAATCTGGTGGCAGGGGTCAGGGATACCAGCTCTGCTCCCTGCCCCCCCCCCCAGATGATGGTAAGCTCTCATTTGAGGAATTCCAGAATTACTTTGCTGATGGGGTTCTCAGCCCTGGGGAGCTGCGGGAGCTGTTCAACGGCATTGATGGGCACTCCACCAAGTAAGTACGAGAGGGGGTGGGTGAGCCGTGGGTAGATGTGAGGCTAGGTTATCCCAGCCGCACTGTGTCCCCTGCTGCCTCAGTTCCTTATGGAGGATGGGGGGTTGCATAGGGAGAGAGGTGCCGGGGCCCGATGCCAACTTCACCCGCCCACTCACCCCCCTCCCTGGCTCCAGCCTTGTCCATCACACTCCTTCCAGCTGGGACCCCAAAATAGCCAGGTCTGAGTCACCGCCCATGGTTCAGCCCACAGTGTCCCCCCTCCCCATTCCCGCTTCCTGCAGGGACCAGAGGATGCCAGCTTCCACCCGTGGATGCAAGTGCACCAACACGCACTTACCTCCCCGTGTGTGTTCCTTAGCGGCAGTTGCACGCTTTCCTCCCTGTGCTTCCTCACATGCGTGCACATGCACACACAGCTGTCCCTCCCTGTCCCCTCGCATCTCCTTAGAAATAATTCCAGACTCTGGGTCAGCATTCAAGGTTGCCGTGCCCTTCCCTATTCTGGAGCCTGAGCCAGACCTTTTTATCTGCAGTGCCGCCACCTCCCCACCACCAGACACTCCAGTCAAATCCCTTGTCCTTCAATGCCTAACTAAAGCAGCCTCCCCCGGGAAGCACTCCCTAACCTACCAAGTAATACCCTGTGCTTTCTCTGGACTTCCCCAGACCTGGCTTCCCCTTCCCAGCTCTGACCCCTCCTCTCTGGCCTGTGTCCACATTTCTCTCCCTGGGCCTGAAAGCCCCTTGGAGGCCAAGAGTGGGTCTGAATTTTTACCCTCCGTAGTACCCTCGCTGCCCCTCTCGGCCCACTGAGCCACTTCACCTGGGGTAGAGGCAGGAGTAGCCTCCGCATCAGGCTGAGCTGGGCAGGTGGTGGGAGGGGCATTGGCTTCAGAGTCCCAGGTCTCAGGCTTATGTCTGTGGGACTGAAGGGTGCCTTTTCTTTTCCCCACAGCAATTTGGAAACAGAGAGACTGTGTGGTGAGTAGGCCCACGGGAGCTCCGGTCTCCTGGGACCCCTGGGCAGGTGGGCAAGATGAGAGGCTGTTCCTCCTCTCCTAATGGAACAGGATGGGCTTGGCTCAGGATATGAGGCCTGGTTGGCTGCAGAGGAATTCCAGGTTGGGGTAAATGAGGCCATGGAGCAGGTGGGGGGTGGTCCGGGAACCTTTGAGCACCTCCTCTGCCCACAGACTATTTCTCAGAACACCTGGGTGTCTACCGGCCCGTGCTGGCTGCCCTGGAGTCGCTGAACTGTGCAGTGCTCACTGCCATGGACACCACCAAGCTGGTGAGTGGAGGGCTTGATGCTGGAAGGCTGGGAACAAGGGCAGGGGTGTCTGCTGTGCTGTGGGAGCCTCCGCTGCCACAGCTCAGGGCTTGGGTTCAAATCATGACTCTCTTGCTTCCTAGCTGTGCACCTTTATCTCTCTGGGCCTCAGTTTTCTCATCTGTAAACTGGGGATAATAATAGAGCTTACCTGCATACGTTTGGTGTGACAGTTAAATGAGAGTGAAGGCAGGGATTTTTGCCTTTCTTGTTCTCGGCTCTTATTTCCAGCACCCAGCACTGTGCCTGGCACACAGAAGCCACTTAATACCTAGAGCTGCTGCTGCTGTTGTTTCTGTTATTGGCGAGGCCTAACTCTTGTGGGGTATGGCGCCCAGGACCCAGCAGGGATGGGGTGGGAGGTGGGGCATGCTCACACACCGCCACAGGCCCACGCTGGTGTGTGGAACTTGGGGGTGGGGGGCAGGGCCTGGCCCAAGGACATGGGTAAAGCTGGTATGTGTTCCCCCAAGTGTTTGTATGCACGTGTGGCCACCTGTGCGTATAAGCACAAACAGTGCTCACAGCCAGGGCTCTAGGCTCTTGGATAGTGACTTCGAAAACACAAGCCACACCTCCCTTTGTGTGTTTCTTTTAAGAAATGTCTCCACCCCGCTTTGTCCCATAGCTCTTAATAACGAGGCAAGGAGGGAACAGGGAGGCGGCCCAGGATTGTGCCTGACCTCACTTTTTACAGAAGGGGAAACTGAGGCCCTCAGTGAGTCAATGATCAGCTGAGGACAGGGCTTCCTTTTCTGGCTGCTTCCACATGCGATTTTGACGTTTTCAAAGGGTCACCCCTGGAAGCTTTGCATAGGATGGGAATCCAAGCAGTACTGGGTGAGGGGTTGACGTGTTGTAACTATTTCCGTATCTGTGGCCTGAACACAAGTGCAGGTGTTGCATTCCTTGTTGCCATGGAAACGGCCCTGGGGGTAGGCACCTGGACTGGTATTCTCTGAACTGGCACTGGTTAGGGTAGATTCAAACTGCAGGTCGAAGTGAGGGTCCTAGAGGTCCAGACCACCTCCTCCTGGCTCAGGAAGAGTTAGGGGCCACCCATCGGCACATGAAGACTCTGCCAGCTCTGATCACTTGAGACTTTTATCTGGAACTCAGTGCCTCCGACGGAGTATAGCTCAGCCCACCGAGCCTCCCCCTCCGCAGCCCCCCCGGTGGCGCCTCCTCTCCAGTACAGCGTGACTCAGTCGAACACTTCGTGCACCAGCCGGGAGCCACACTCCTGGTACATGGCCCGAGTTATCCAGCGGCACTGGAAGGAGCGCAGCGAGGCCACCATGGAGCCGCCTGTCCATACTGCTGTGCCACGCCCAGGCGCCGCCACCAGGCACGGCCTCAGCGCCCCGTAACCGTGCCTCCGGCACTGCGCCTCCAGCTCCATTTCCAGGCGCTTGGTGAAGCCAGGGAAGAGTGTGGAGCCACCGGCCAGCACCACGGTGTCAGCCAGCCGCTTCCGGAGCGTTGCGGGAACCTTCTGCAGTGCCCGGAAGACCAGTGCGGGCAGGCCCGGCCTGGCCTGGCCTAGCAGACTCGGCTGGAAGATGGGTTCTGGGCAGCGGAAGCGCTCGCTGCTGAGACAGACGGAGCACCCATTGCCTAAGCAGAAACTGACCGGATGGTGGCGGTCAGGGTTACGAAGGTCCCCCTCAAAGTCCAGTGACACATAGCAGTAGCGTTTCTTGAGCTGTGTGATGGCCTTGCGGGGCAGGGCCTGCAGCTGTAGGTGGGGGCATGCTGCCACCAGCAGGTCCCGCAGGTAGCGTGATAGGGTGCTGCCTGCCACGTCCAGCCGGAACGTGGCCTCGTGCCGCGCGTGGCCCGCATAGATGGGCGTGGCGTGGCACACGCCCGCGCCTGCCTCCACGGCCAGCCCGCTGAACGCGCCAGTGGAGCAGAGCGCCAACAACGCTGTGCTGGCCATGTGGCACGCGGGCACTGCCAAGGTCTCGAACAGCAGCTCGGCTATCCTGTCGCGGCCCGCTGGCGGCGCCGACGGCGAATCACTCACTAGCACGGGCCACTGCTCCGGGCACACCCGCAGGCCGCCCACCAGCAGGCGCTCCCACAGCCCCTCCAGCGCCTCCCAGTCCACCACCACGCCGTGCTTGATGGGGTGCGCCCGCGCCACGCCACCCATCAGCTCGCCGCCCAGTGCCCCCGGCGGCACCGGCCGGTCCCAGCTGGGCACCAGGCTGGAGCTCTTCAGCACCAGGCGCGGCTGGTGCTCGCCCGCGAAGCCCGCCTTGATGAAGCCCGAGCCCTGGTCTATGACCACCGCCACGCGGCCCAGCGAGGGCGGCCGACGGACCCGCCTGCTTCCAGACACCGATGCCACCGTGGCTTTCTGGGCTCCGCCCCGCCGCGTGCCTGAGGCTCCGCCCGCCTTTCAGCTCTTGGCTCTGGCCCCAGGCCTAAGTCCCGGCCTTTCTGGCCACAGAACTAGGGCTCTCAATTCTTGGCTGCAGCCTCTGGTCTGGAGCTCCCACTCTTCCCGTCAGACTGGACGTCCCTTTTCAGCTCTTGGCTCCGCCCACGGGCCCGAGGCCCCGCCCCCGGCTCAAGGGCCAGTCTCCCGCTCTCAGCGGGCTTCCGCGCTTCAGGACCTTCTTTGCCCTCCTGTGGCTCCAGACTCAAGACTCCACCTTGCACCAGACCCGCCTGAGGACTCACCTCCGCTGCGCGGCCCACTCATTCGGCCCTGGCGGAGGTGGATGATGAGAGGGCCGCATCAAATCCTAAATAAGGAGAAGCTGCCCGGAGCAGCATAACTCTTAACAATGAAGGGGCCTTGTGGCAATGTTCTGGGGACATATATCCTCCCGTGGGGACCCAGGAGTCCAGCCCAGTCCTTGAGCCCCAGGCGGTCTCCTGGCACCTCTCTCCTGGCCTTAAGTCTTTCCTGGTTGTGTTGGTGGAACGGGGTGGTCAGAGAAGGAAGGAAAAGAACTTGGATTGGACTCATTGTGACCTCAGTCCTCAGTACCTGCTGTGCTTCCTTCCCCACAGCCCTCTCCATCCATGAAAACTCCCTGGACACATCTACTCTCCTGGGACAAGGCCAAAAGCAGTGATTTTGGCATTGGGGTATCTGGCCTCAGCTGCACAACCAGTCTGATTCCCTCCCCAAACCACTTCAGATTATCTGATGTATTCTGGCTAGATGTACAGCCAACCACCCTCCCCCTTCCCTGCCCCAATCCAGTGCTGATGAGAAAGCTCTTAATCACAGATCTACAGCCACTCTGAGGACCTCTGTGTTCAGCCCTGAGGGGCCCAGACAGTCCACACAGGGACCCTACCTTCAGGGCCTTCCATGTATGGACTCTTGTGGACCTGAATTTGTGACTCAGTTCTGAAGACCACGACTCATTGTTTGCCCCTGAGCAAGTCCTAATTTCTCTCTGGGCTCAGTTTCTTCCTCCAAAAGGTAGTTCTAATCCTCACACAGGAAATTTCCTAGGCCACTTGTCTCTGCAGAGTCTATTCTCCTTAGGACCATTTTGGTTTCAAGTAGGAGAGCTACTCAGGTGAACTTAAGCTAAAAT